GTATAAGCAGAGTACCTACTTCACAGGGTTTTTCTGAGGGTTAAATGCGATACCTACCACATTTTGAAATTAAGCATATGTTCTTTTGAAATGAAGCCTGTATCTTTTTTCAATATCCTAAATTGTGAACAACAGCAACAACTTTCAGGATAGATTTAATTTTGGTGAACAGCACAAAGCTGTTTGGAGGCAGGTCTACAACAGAGTTCATTTACGAAGCTGGGTCATAAATATCTCATCTATCAAATATGTTTAACCTTTTTAAAATGCTGGCATTTAAGCATTAGCTTGGGAAGAAAATTTACATCTTTGGATTCATATTCTCGAGCCGTCGTTTCATTGCTGATCAATGCCAAACTGAGTTACTGCTATTTTATTTGTCCCCAGTCTGTGTAAGTTTGTCTTATTGTTTCCCCTTTAAATGGATGGATGAGCTTGATCCCAAAGTAAGTAAGGAGAATATTTTATTAGTCTTGAGCTCTGAGAAAATTAGCTTGTATTATTTACTTGTCTTCTACTCTCCTTAAGAAACTTCTATTAGACAGATGCTAAAACTTTGTATCTATCCTCCATGTCTCAGTTTTTCTCTCATACTTTGAGGTTTTTGCTCTGTCTGCATTGTGTCCTATAAAAGAACCAAACTTAACCCTCCACCTCATTAATTCATTTTGTATCTGCATTCATTCTCCTATTGAGCTCATCTATCACGTTTATTTTCATGATTCATTCATTGACTCAGCAAACTTTATCAAATGCTTCCGTGGTGGCAGGGGTTGTCTGCGGAACATTTTTTTAGATTCCCAGATCTTCTGGGGGATTGTAACATCCTCAAATCTAAGCTTATTTTGTTGTCTTATTTAGGGTGCTGATGTTCCTCAGATTTCTCGGATTCGATTCACTACTTTGTCATTTGAGAATGCCTCTGTCCTCTAGGATCATCCATGTGGGATCGGTTCAGTCAAAGGTAGCCCATGTTGATCCTGTGGAACGCTGGCTCGTGCTGCCACATGAGGGAGGCCAGGAGCCCGCTCTCTGTGCAAAAGGGCCCCTCATCTCATTGGGGAGCTGTAGCTACTGAAGGTTTTGTGGGTATTCTCTGGCCCAAGGCCCACAGTCAGGGCTCTGGCCTGAGAACCACTGCTGCTGCCACCTCCTGCTCAGCCGAAGTGGGAGAGATGGTCACATGATCCAGCTGTTTCAAGCGCAGCCTCCACAAGGGCATTTTCCAAGACCCGCTCCTGGTTTGCGGCTTCCCTGTGGTTACTCCCATTTGACCTACACTCCTCATTTCTGCAAAGCCATGCTTTCCTCAGGTCTTATTTATCAGATCCTGTTTCTATCTTTCAGAAACCCCTCAAAAGCATTGGTCAATTGATGAGATTTTGGTTGCACAATGCCATTATTTCATTTTTTTGTCTTTTTTTTTTTTTTCCTTTTTGGTGAGGGATGTTTGGGGAGGAAGAGAAGACAATGACATTTGCTCAGTCTAACCATCTTTATCCCATCTCCCTTCTTAAATGGCATTTACTTCATTTCTGTTCAGTGGTCAGCCTAGGTCTTGGAGCTTAAATCTGTCTAAACTGCCAGAAACCAGTAATAATAGTCAGAAGACTGTTCATGTATTTAATTCTACCTTATTTCATGTATTTATCTCCCTTAAGTGTCATAAGTGAAGTACAAGGAAAGTGCTCTCAAGTTCTGAGTTCTCCTAGTTGAGTGAAGGCATCTGAGTTACACCTGGAAAAAAAGGAAGAATTTGACATGTAGGACAGGCATATAAGAAGATAGCAACTAGGCCGGGCACAGTGGCTCACGCCTGTAATCCCAGCACTTTGGGAGGCCGAGGTGGGTGGATCACCTGAGGTCAGGAGTTCGAGACCAGCCTGGCCAACATGGTGAAACCCTGTCTCTACTAAAAATACAAAAATTAGCCAGGCGTGGTGGCAGGTGCCTGTAATCCCAGCTACTTGGGAGGCTGAGGCAGGAGAATTGCTTGAACCCAGGAGGCGGAGGTTGCAGTGAGCCGAGATCATGACACTGCATTCCAGCCTGGGCGACAGAGCGAGACTCCGTCTCAAAAAAAAAAAAAAAAAAAACCAAAAAAAAGATAGCAACTAGTTTGGTTTGATGACAGACTAATTGATGACAGAACTTTTAGATACTTAAAGCAATAAGGAAAAAATATTTGCCAATTTTTTGAAAAAAGCTGTGTGAAAGATGCAATAGAAAAAAATTTCAAAAACTTAAAAAGTTATAAACAATAATCAGATCATTTCACAAAAGTAATCAAGTGATAAGGCTAATATATTTTCATTAGTGTGTGCATAAACACATACAAACATATACATGTGTATAGATACATGTATATACACACACACACACTAATGGAAATATGTTGGCCTATATACATATATATACGTAGTGTGGGTGTGTATATATGTAAATTCTTCATTTATATTACTGTCATTTTTTTAAGCAAGCATCTGTTTTTATTACAAGAAAATTTAATCTAATACCTTAGAAACTATTGATAAGGTGCTTTCGATGGAATGGCCCACTCTTTAGATGTTTTCTGCAGAACCATTGAATAGATTCTCAATCTCAATTGGCATAATTGTGACAGGGTTGATCCTCTAGGGAGTCATTTCTGAATATATAATTTTATTTTAAAAATTCAATATTAAAAGATGATTTATGGCTGGGCATGGTGGTGCATGTCCGTAATCCCAGTGCTTTGGGAGGCTGAGGCAGGAGGATTGCTTGAGCCCAGGAGTTCGAGACCAGCCTAAGCAATATAGCAAGACCTCATCTGTACAACAAAAAAATTTAATTAGCCATATACCTGTAGTCCCAGATACTCTGGAGGCTGAGGCAGGAGTGATGGCAGCAGTGACCTGTCTGAAGCATCACGCTCCGTGGAGCCAGTAGGGGTGGGAACAGGTGGGAGCCCCACCCCCTACTGAGTTGGCAGGGCAGGAGCCCCACACTCTTGGGCGCAGTTGCAGCCACCCAGCTATGGCTCCAGACATGGGCATCCCTGCACTCCTGGAAGCCCCTCTGCCACCACAGGCTCAGAAGTGCCTGCTCCTGCTTCTCCCCACTCCTGGCACCTGCTCCAATTCTGGAGCAAAGTTGAGGCTGAACCCAGGTGCTATCTCAACCTGGCTGGGTGTCTGTGTGCAAGGTGGTGCTGACACACTAGTCCCACCACCTTGGCCCCCTTTGAATTCTGGGCACCAACAAGCAGGGGAGGGAGGCCGAGGGGGCACTGAGAGCAGGTTGGCACAAGCCTGCAGGTGCCCCTTGGTAGGAACAGCCTGGTTGCTGTGGATGGCATGTTGATGGTGGCAGGATGGAAAAGGGTGGGTCCTGGTGAAACCCGACCTTCAAGCCAGGGATGGCCTGAAGCCTGGGGCCTGAGCTCCAAGTTCCAGGTGGAGTCCACTGTCTGGAGTGAGAACGTTTAAGGTGCTTTTTCCCCCCAACCCACCCATGGCTGCCCATGGACCAGTCAGCACACACTTCCGCTTCTGAGCCCATAAAAACCCTAGACTCACTCAGACTCAAAACAGACCCTCAGGACTACCAGCTGCAGGAAGAAGTTACCCACTGCGGGCCTCCTTGACTCTTCTGGAAGACCTGCCTGTGGAAAGGAGCTACCTACTTCCGGTCTCTTCCTTGCTGAGAAGTGGACACTCTTTGGGATGACCTGCCTGTGGAAAGGAGCTACCTACTTTGGGTCTCTTCTCTGCTGAGAACTGGACACTCTTTGGGATGACCTGCCTATGGAAAAGAGCTACCTAATGAGGGTCTTCTCTCCACTGAAAGCTGGACACTCATCAGGATGACCTGCCTGCAGAAGGGAGCTACCCACTTTGGGTCTCCTGAGAGCTGTTCTATCACTCAATGAAGCTCCTCTCTGCCTTGCTCACCCTCCAGTTGTCTGTGCACCTCATTCTTCCTGGATGCAGGGCAAGAACTCAGGACCTGCTAAATGGTGAAACTGAAAGAACTGTAACACAAACAGGGCTGAAACACGCACCCCCCTCGCCCCACCACTCACCACATTGTGGGTGACGAGAAGAGCTGCAGCTATTTGGGGAGTCCAGACCTAAGGGGTCCCTAAGCCAGGGCTGTGACACCCTCTTTGGAGCTCTGTGGTTGCTGGCATCTCCAAGTTTCCGGGTGCCAGAGTGTTCCCCTTATCCGGATGTGGGTGCCTGCAGTGGAAGCCACATGTGGTACATCTGGTCCAGCTGCAGCCTCGCATGAAGCTGCCTGCACCAACACAGCACCTGGTGTGCCTGGCTGTGTGCAGTGTCTGGACCCTGCATGCACTTGCCCACACACCCCTCGCTGCTCCGTGCCTGGCTCGCTCTTGGCAGGTGTGGGATCTAGACTGGAAGCAAAAGCCAAGCACAGCCTGCCCGGCTGAGTGGCCAGAACAAGCCCAGTGGGCATGAGCAATACTCAGGCAGAAGGCACCACCGGCCACAGATGTTTCTGGCTGGCAAAGTGACACCCCAAGGATCCTGTGACAGGAAGATCACTTGATCCCAGGAGTTTGAGGCTGCAGCAAGTTATGACTGTGCTACTGCATTCCAGCCTTGGCAATAGAGCAAGATCTTGTCTCAAAAAAAAAAAAAAAAAAAGATTGACTGACATTTGCAAAATCCTAGCTGAGGAACTGGGGGCAGAAACGGTCAAGTCTATGTCACCAAGAGAAGTCTCAAATGGTGAGGCATAAAAGAAAGAATTTTAGCCTTACCCTAAAGGGACATGGATTTTTAAAAGGTTGAAAAATAGTGCTTTAGGGATGGTTCTAGGGCCTAAATCCTCAATAAATTGCTTTTTTTCTCAAAAATTAAAAATGACCAAAGTTTTTGGAAACCACAGCATATATCTAATGCCACCAAACCATAAGCAAAACTCATCTGTTCTTTAACATATGCAGTTTGGTTCTTCTACTGACTTTTAATAACACTGACCTACAATTTAAGAAAAAGTATTAGGAATTTAGCTTTTATTCAAAATTAAATAAGCAAAAGCAAAAATTTTAAGAAATTTTTACAAATTACTTACATAAAAGAAAGTTAATAAGGACAGTCACAAATTTGCAACAGATAATTACAAAAGTTTCTAGGGCAGCATGAATATAAACCATGTCGCAGCATGGTCATCTAACTGTGATATGAATAAGGCATAACTAACATTTGCACCGAGACCAGAATTAAAAACAAAAACAAACTTTAAAAGCTTAGTTCTATATTAAACTTCTTCTCTTCTCCCAGATCCTTAATGGGTTTATACTATGCATTTTTTTTTAAAACACATCATGTCAAACTATAAATTACATAAATGGGCAGTTAATGTGAAAAGCCCCCTAAAATGTACAAACTAACTGGTACTGAATTGAGTTCTCCATTTACCTTTATGTACAATTAAATGTAAACCATATTTTCACAGTTTTGAGTGTTTTATGAATAGATGCACAGTACCATGTCAGGTTTACAATTGTTCCTGAAAACTGGCTCTAGGTTCTGCATCCAATGCCTGTCGGCCACTGTGATGCAAGTATTTACATAAATAAGAAACTGTGTCATAGTCAATGGTCAAGACAGTTCAGCAAGAGCAGTATTTCCAACAAAGAATGATCCTCAACACGATATTTTACATATTTGTGCAAATATAAGCATTAGGACAGATATATCTGAGGCAAATTCAATTTCCAAAAACTTGTATCGCTACTCTTGTAAACTTGGGCAACAAATGACCCTCAGCAAGTTCTGCTCTCTATGGCTTTTTTGTTTGTTTTAAAATTTTAAAGCCAGAGAAAATGCACACACACTACCCAACCCCCACAAGCACGCACGCACACACACACACACGCACGCACACACACGCACGCACACTCTCTCACAGAGTTCTTATTTCATTTTAGAGTATGGTACATAGTGCAACTTCACAATGTAGAGGTTTAACACACATTCACTGCGTGTTTTTCTGTGCAAGTTCTTAGTGGTCTAAATCCTAGTCGAAGGTATTCATTTGCAGAACCACATGATTCAGGAGGTTGAAGGAAAAAGAAAAGTTTCATTACATTTCTGAAACCAGCACTAGATGTGCAAAGGCAGCGGACAATCTGGCCATTGATGCAGCCAGATTAGGGTAACTTTAAAGGGAGATCCAAGCAGTTACTTAGATTGGTCTCTAGAAAAATAGGTCAGTATATGCTGTATCTTTGTCAACCGTTCTTTCAAAGACTTCATTGACAAAACCGACAGCTGGTATCGTGGATCTACAGGGAGAACTGCAAGAAGCCACCAACACCATGCGGGTCCATTAGGGGTTGCCTAAAAACAATGGACAGTTCATAGCGTTAATAAAACAAGGATTTATGTAACAACAACAGTAGCAAACTACTGAAAAACTACTATTTATTGAACACTTTTACTGTGCACCAGGTGCTATCTCCAATGTCCTTAACAATTATGCACAGTATAAAATGGGGGAAATTGAAGCTCAGCAATGTAATGTAAATTGTCCAAGATCTCTTGACTAACATGTGGCAGAGCCGAGATTCAAATCTAGACCTGACTCGCCATAGTCAACAAGCGCTCTTTCCTCCTATTGCACTGCCTGAAAGCAAGGCTTCTCCACCCCAGGCTACCGACACTTTGAGCCAGATAATTCTTTGTTGTGTGTGGCTGTCCTATGCACTAGAGTACATTCAGCAGCATCTCTGATCTCTATCCACCAGATGCCAGTAGCACCTTCCCACCCAGCTGTGACAGCCCAAAATGTCTCCAGATAATGCCAAATATCCTGTGGGGGCAACATGCCCCTAGTTGACAGCCACTTTCTTGAGCTATATATTTAAAGCATTAAGAAATGTTAATTGAGATTTAAAATTTCCTCAAAGTATGAGGGAACCCTTGGAAAGATAGAAGGAAAAGGCCCCAGCTTCCATTTTTGTTCAAAAAAGAAACATATCTCCAGTAAAAAGGTCCCAGTGATGTCGTAAGGGCTACTAGCTATTGAAAAAACTAGAAATTTCCATAAAACGATTTGTAAGTCACGTTCAGTGAACCTTGAACTGCTATTTTATCGGACTTAAAATATAAAGCTTCAGAATGACAAAAGGAGCTTTGGCATCAGTGCTGATCTCAGTAGGCCCCTCTAGATTCAGGTTTGGTTTCTCTATCTGTGTATTGTCTGCTGTCAGCTAGGCATCGCTACCTCCTCAGCTGCATTCCAGAGACGTCAGAACCTGTCTCCCAGAATCCCCTCTGCCATAGGGTTCCAGGTTAGAGTTGGCCGATGAAAGGCACTCCTGTGGGGCGTGGAAGCTGGAAGAGAAGTCATTATCCTCTGAAGATTGTTGCAAAGTGTGGGCAGGAACTTTCCAGAGAGCTCCTGGAAACCCCTTCCTCCACTGCTGTAGACTGAGACAGTAGTGGGGACTCGTTGGGATTACTAAGAATTATAGCCACTTCCCCGCTAGTTCTTCAGAAGCACCCTGTTGGCTGTTTCTGATGCAGGATCTCTGCTGGCAGATTCCCTGACTTCTGTAGGTGACACCCTGACCTTCACTCCACAGCTCTCCCAACCACTATATCAAGTCTACATCCTGCATTAAACCCTTCATTCCGGAAAGATGAAGAGTGGTTGCTTTTGCTTTCCTGCCCGAATCCTAACTCACACAACATCGCTATCAGAAAGCAGTGATAGAGGACAGGGTAATCAAAGGCAAGGGTGGTGAAGGTGATGGGAAAGTTATGTTGAACTTTTCTATAAGCTGTTTTGTTATTTAAAATTTCTTATTCAATGTTGTTCCTATCAAAGCCTATTTCTATAATGTTTAATCAGATTCAAGTAATCAGTTAAAACAAATAGATGGCAACTGATAATATGCTAAACAGAATGAATACTAAATTTGGAGATGGCCTAATGTTGGTGTTTCAAGTTGAGGTGAAGGATTCACTTGGGATTCAGAGAGACATAGACCAACCCTTGAAAACGGGAATGAGGCAATGTGCATTACAATGAGATCTATTATCTCTCCATCTTCACATATTTACTGAGAGCCATTCCTTTGTAAAGTCTATCACTTTCTGATCAAAAATGTTTAATTCAATTCAAAATGCTTATGCCTAAAACGAAGTGCTTTAGTGAGTCTATGATCAGATTTTCCAGGAACCAGACCCTTCTTTTATGCCTCCTGCAGTTTTGCTTGCACAGAAAGTGCCAGATACACATTCATTAGACTAAGCTTAAGTGTAAACCCTAAGTACCAGCAAGATTAAAAGAGCAAGTTTCATGAGGAGTGAGGTATTAAACACGAAGAGACACAAATGAAGTGGTAGGGTCAAATGTTGGGAGATACAAAGAAAGGTGAGAAAAGATGCTTTAAATGGATAGAAAATGCTAAGTCTCGCTGCTGTGAAAGAGTAACAACAGGCAATGGGCTTGAAGGCATGGTGAGCTGTCTCACAGTCACAGTTTCTAGATAGTAACATCCGATTCTTAATTTCCTACCCCTCCTAAACATCCTAAGGCCTTGCTCCCTCTCTGGCACTCCCTGCTACAGGCATCTCAGCTGACACCTATTTCCAGCCTCTACCTGTACAGAATGTAGTGGATACCACTGCTCTAGAACACTCATGATTCTAAACCAGGTGGGGCCGGTGCGGGGGAGGGGGTAGTCAAAGAAAATGTAGTGCAGAAAGGACAGTGAAAAAACAAATGTAGAAGTTTGCAAATTTGGGTTTACAAAAAAGTGACTTTTGTTAGAAGAGAAAAGCCACCATACCTGAAGGTTTTCCTCCCTCTCGGGCATTGATCCAAAGTGCTGAAGAATCTGGCTTCGAAATCTGTCTCTTAAATTCTGAAACCAGCTGCAGGCTTGAGAGTAAACCAAATCATGAAGCTCTCTGAGATTCTTAATCTCATCTTCATCCTCAACCTAGAAATACAATAGTCAGTAAGACTTCTGTGTCTAATCCCCCATCCATATGCCAACCGACACAAATGGAAAAAGGCATAAGAAGAACAGGGCAATATCTGTTTCAGTGCTGACCTCCCAAAGAGTACTATTCCTATGCTATACTACATATTTCTGTCTCATATGGGGCTGACCAGACTAAAGACAGACAGCAAGGCCTGACCTATGCCTAACCTTGCTGAGTTAGCAGTGCAACATTGCAGAACCCTACCAAGAGCCCCCAAGTGGGAGGAGTAAGATGGAGAGTGAGTTTTGGTTCAAAGGTCTACACTAATTTGGAATTCCTTTTGTCTTTATGGATCAATGGCTTTTGAAAGCAGTGGCACAAAAAAGTGGATGATAGTTGCTACAAAAAAGAAAAGATGAGTGGTTAGGGTGTAGATGACATGACAGAAAGTAGTAACAGGGGGAGTCCACGCACAGTTACATCTTTTGCTAGGGAACTGGGTCAAAACACAAACACAAACAAAAAGCTATAACAAATAAGTTAGCATATAAAGCCAGTATGTCAGAGAGTCAGTTACACAATGATGAACTTCTGCTGGAAAGGCCCAAGGCTATGGCTACCTCTGGAACCCCTCAGTGTATTCTTTAGACTACTGGGTCACCAAACTGCAAATGTAAAATTAATTGCATCAGGCTTCCAGCCTGAGATAGAAGGGTAGCCTCAGAGAACACAGGTGGGAATATCTAAGTTTAACTCATCCATCTTATATTGATTTCTTTAATGCACACTTACATCCCACTTGCTACGTGCCAGGTCCTGCTCTGTCTCATATGCACAAACTCATCTGAAAAAATACCAGGCCTGACTCAGCCTTTCATACTTCAAGGATGACTCATATAAAAACAACAAAGGGACTCCGAAAACATTTTGAAACATAAAAATAAGACTACAGCACACCAGAGACTAAAAGGCATACTTTTTACTTTGGAAAGATTTGAAATGAAAATTAAAACTAAAGTTTAAAGAGCATCTGCTTTTTGCATAACAATGTGACTATACTTAATGCCACTGATGTGTGCACTTAAAGATGGTTAAAATGGTATATTTTATGTATATTTTACCACAATAAAAATAAACTTTTAAAAAAGGTAGAGGAGCCACACAATTGAAGAATTGTGGTCCTGAAATGACTACACAAGATTCGGGCCGTTGCTAACATACACTGACAGGAGCAAGAAACAAAACTTATGACTTGTTCAATCTTTTTTTTTTTTTTTTTTAAAGCATCTGCTCTGCACCCTCACAAAATTCAAGAAAACAAATGACAGACTCTAGTAAACAAGGAATGATAACAATTATAAGAGTCTGTGATGACAAACGGAGCTGGCCAAAAAGCAGGCAGAGACGCTTTTAAAGTCTCTGCCTGCTTTTTGGCCAGCTCCCTTTTAAAAGCAAGCTTTTAAAGTCAAAGTACTCGCGGTGGCTCAAGCCTGTAATCCCAGCACTTTGGGAGGCCGAGACGGGTGGATCACGAGGTCAGGAGATCGAGACCATCCTGGCTAACACGGTGAAACCCCGTCTCTACTAAAAAATACAAAAAACTAGCCGGGCGACGTGGCGGGCGCCTGTAGTCCCAGCTACTCGGGAGGCTGAGGCAGGAGAATGGCGTGAACCCGGGAGGCGGAGCTTGCAGTGAGCTGAGATCCGGCCACTGCACTCCAGCCTGGGCGACAGAGTGAGACTCCGTCTCAAAAAAAAAAAAAAAAAAAGTCAAAGTACTTTACTGTGATAATTTTAACAGATTTTAAAATTTCATTAGAAGTCACAGAAAACAGAATTATTATAAGGAGAGGAAAATTTGCTATAAAAAACAAATCTGAGAAGGTTTTCCAGAATGGACAAGAAAATCACTATATAGATGAAGACATTATGATGAGGAAAAATTATTGGACATTCCGAGGACCACAAAGAGGACTCAAGTTTATAAATAACTTATAATTATAAAAAAAATTTATACAAGTTTATAAATATCAAATCTGTGATACTTTTAGAATGTCATTCCATTGCCTACATGTTTATAAGTATTAATACATATAGTCATGTAATTTAGCCATATACTCAAGTGATTTTGTCATCAAATCCAATATGTGAAGACATAACTGTACATGAAACTGAAATAGGGTTATTAACTTTACAAAGGAGAACCTTTAGCAAGTGATTCCATTAATTAAGTATGCTTAAGGTTGGCACAGATTATACCAATCAACTCAAAATTTCAACTTACACAATACTTTTGGCCAACTGCACAGGGCAAAGTACCCCAATGCATTTTTATAATAAGATAGGACAGCCAACGTCAGACTAATCAGGTTTATCAGCAGAGAGCCAAATGGCATAATGCTAAAGCTCAGAGCCCGAGTCAGAGAGTTTGCTTTAATCATTTTTGTTACATTATAGGATCTTAGGCAAATTAATTAACACCTCTGAACTATACTTTCCTCATCTACTATTTCATAGAGTTGTGAAAATTCTATGAGTTAATGTTTGTGAAAATACCTAATGCCAATATCCAATAAATGTTGACTGAAATGAAGGGCCTAAACAGATCAATGAACAAGTGACGGGATAAGATCTGTTTTTATAATGCCTTTCCAAAAGAAATTGCCTTCAATTTGCTATTTATAGCATCACAAGTCATTTTTCTGGTTCCTAAACTAACTGCAGTAGGTAAACTGGGTATTGCAAACATCAAAAGGGCCACGTTAACCCTATTCTAGAAAGACATCACAAAACCGCTACCCTGCTAATATCACCAACATGTACACTGGCAGTGCTTTCTATGTCTGCCCCAGGGTCTTCACACAGCATTCAACTCTATTTTATCATTAAGGTTATCTTAGGCACAAGAACAATCTGAGTATATAAAACAATTCTTACAAGACCTGATGTGTTTACATTTACATGAAGTTTCAATCTACTAATTCCATCAGCTTCAACTACTAATACATTCAATAAAACAGGGCAGAAATGTAAACCTTTCAAAACTTAGATGGGCTGGAAGTTCAACTTAACCACTATTAAGTACCTATCATGTGTATACACACATGCACATGTGTACATATACACATACATTCTAGGGCACTGGGCTGGTGGTTAAGCCTGTAGAAATAAAGAGAATCTATGTTCTAGTCTTCCAAGTTCTCTCAGAATGTGCAACAATTGCAGAGCAAGATACGAAAAAGGTAACTTGGAGCGCATTCTCAACAGTGGTAAGGCTCTCTGATAAGAAGAACTGGTTCATGCGCCTAGAAAATAGCCTGCGTGCCTGTACCAATCCCTGGAACAGGATACACTAAAGTATGCTGGCAAAGCACATTTTAAAATACCTTAACATCTTCCAGATATTCAATGTCGGCAGTGCAATATCCATCTTTCATTCCTCTTTTTAAAACCCTAAACCGCTTTCCTCCAACTGTATCAACCACAGACCTTCCATCAGGTAAGAAATGCACATTTCTAATTTGTAACATACAACCATAATCTGCAAAACTAAAAGAAAACCTTGATTAGTAACAAAGTGGAAACATAAACATGCAAGTTCTCATCCATATTGACAGGTCTAACATAAATACAAATATTTTAGTTCACAAAAAGCATACCTATTTTGTGTATCACTGACACACATGCCAAACTGTTTGGTTCCAGTCTGTATACTTCTTCGAATCATCAATCTATATCTTGGCTCAAATACATGGAGAGGGCAAGGCACAGTGGGGTAGGCCATAGTGCAAACAAATATTGGAACATTCTTGGTCAAGCTGAGGGAAAAACAGTTTAATTATTGAGTTCATACAAGAAAAATATTACCAAACACACACAAAAAATGAGTGAGGTTTATAACAGTAATGAACTAATGTAAAACAAAAAAAGAATAAGTTCTAAATAAGGTGGTTTTTATTCTTGGCAAGAACAAGAATCAGCACCCCGTTCATTAAGCTCACACTGATGAAATATTAATACTAAAAATCTGCTGTGATCCTCTTACTTATAAGAGTAAATTGAATTTTAAGACACCAGATTATCTTACAGAGCTAAGTATCTTTATGAATCAATTTATTATAAGTAATATTTTATATTAAAATCTGTTTAAATATTTATAACATATGACAATAAATATCTTTTATCCAAACACTCATAGTTACTCTTAGATAACAGTAAGAAAAAGTGAACTCCCACAACAGACAAAAAGCAAATAATTAAAAATTCTTAGGCATTAAAGTATTTTCAAACGCAAGATCAGAAAACATATTCTGATGAGATAACATTTTTTCCAAGCAATTAAAATGATATAACATTTTTCATTGCCAGAGTGGTAGAAAGAAAGAGAAGGATAAAGGCAATGCCCAGTCCTGTCTGAGATATGGGAAAACTGGCAGCATGGGGGCAGTCTGAAACAGCACAGGCACACTAAAGAACATGGCTACAGACAGCAGAAACCTTATGTTGTTGGCAGGAAATGTTCATGTTCTTGGAACCAACCAGCTTATTTTCAGACATGAGTGGACAAGTGCTACATGAATGTTCACTGTAGCAATGTAGGTAGTAACCAAAATGTAGAAACATAAAGAGGAGACTAGTAAGATCAATTATGGTACATCAGTAAAACAGAATACTATGTTTCCATTAAAAGATGATGTGTATGAACTGAATTAGAAGAAATGCTTATATCAATGAGAGGAACAGGTTTTAGATATAGATCATGAATAACATGATCCCACCTTTGTTTAAAGCCTGTTTATACATACTGCATTCAAGTTTGGAAATACGTATGTCAAAATGCCAATAGTTGATTCCCTTTGGGTTGCAGATTATGGCTTTTTTTAAAATGCTCATTTGTATTTTTGAGTTTTTTTCAAAATGACCATCAATTACTTATATACACATAAGATGAAACATGTTTAAAATATGTGTTTTAAAAAACAGCCCCATTAGTAAGCAGCTGGACACCCTGACGCTTCTCTTCTCTCCAACACGCAGCTCTCTGTGTGTGACTCCCTCCTCTGTCCTTTGAGTCTACCACTCCTCTGTGGGCGGGCTGGTTGTGTCACTGTGTTTAAATTTTCAAAAGTAAAACTGCAGCTTTCTTAAATCTAGATGCTTCAGCATTGATCAGAAAGGTTTATGATTGTCACATCAGAGTATTTTGTAAATCACACAATAAAATACCAATTCTGTAAGAAGACAAATCAATATCTATTTCTATAAAGAAAAGAGTGGCAATCTTTCTTCTACGGAGGGCCCCTGGCTCACTGAAGACATCTGATGGACACATGTTGAAAAAGTAGAGTCTACAAGCACAGCTTTTGTTAGAAAGTGACATATAAAATGTTCAATTTATATTTTGAAAAGTAATGGAAACAAAAAGTTGTTAAATAAATAAAACAGCATACAAAAATTATAATTTTGCTTTTTAGTGTGTTCAATTAAAAGAGAGTAAAAGAAATAGAGTAAAGAAATTTAAAACCCGTGAATAGAATTTAAAGAGACCCAAGTGACTGGTCAGAGGGAAAGACATTTAGGGAAAAGAAAGGGAGAAAAATGGGAAAGAAAACCAGAAAAGAGACAACGAGCAATGCCTTGCCCTGCCTACCCAGCTCCATCAGCTGCTGTATTCTCTGCAGAGTGGTCTGAATTACCAAATCCCAAAGTTACCACTGAGATTTTCACCCTCCCGACACCAACTCAGTTGTGCTCCCAGTCAGTATCTTCATTAAGTGAGGATTTGGCCCTGAACACCTCTCTTCCAATTTCAATCTCAGATCTCAAAGTTTGGAAAGCCCCTTCCGGGCCTCCATGTGACAGAAAATCCCCTGCCAATCTAGGTTACTGACCCTAGACCTTCCTCTCGCCCTACCATGACACATGAGAGCTGCCATCACCACCAATGTCACTGTCACTGGCGCCCCCTCTCTATTTCCCATTCCACTGCCTGATGGCACTGTAGGAAATTCCTCCTCCGCCTAAAATACTGCTTCAGCCCACAGAGCTGAGTCAACAACTCCCTGTAAAACATCCGGATGTTACCAAGTGAACTTTTATAAAATTCTGTCTGTTGAGGACCACAGAAACTGCCCAGTACTTCTTGACTAGACTGAGATGAACTACAGACAGGATCCAGCTTGCGGTGAGGTTTTCCCTTACTATTAAAGGGTAGTAGTTCATAATTTTTTTTTATGAGAAGAAACTTACTGTGAGAGTTCAGCAGTTTCTTCATCATATATTTTTTTTCTCTCAGACAGTTCATCAGGCAGATACTTCACTATTAATTCTTCCAACAGCTGTGTGACACAGTACCTCCTATCTGCTAGATACTAAAAGACAATATTATTTTACATTCCAGCAGTGGTTTTCCTACAGTATAAAACAGGCAACACAGTTAACTGATATATTAAAGCCTTTATTACATATTTATACCATCAATTCTGGATTAATTAGTGAGGGGAACATTACAATGGATGATGCTAAGCAAAAAAACCTGTCTAAGGCTTTGCTCAAGAGCATTAAAGATAGTTGGCTGCAACCTGAACCAAGTCCTGTACAGAAGAACTGCTTCCTGCTGTGACCACAGCTCCTCTATGAGCTGCAGAGGGCCCTGCCCCGCTGTCTTCCATAACAGAGGCCCTTTTCCATCTGACAGCTCATGGGCACTAAACTGTCATTTTAACTGAGATACAAAAAGGAGATAAGGAATAAATAAAATAACACATTTGCCTTATATAAGAAAAGCAAAACATCTGTTCTGTTCCCAATTTCAGACACAGTCTCTAGATAATTTTTCTTTCAGATTTTTCTTCCATTGTCACCCACTACTGAGTAGAGGAGTGGACCTCGACTCTGTCCTTGAGTGACCCAAGGACGGTGCGTTTCTTGGGACACTATCACTCAGACCTTATCAAGATATTGCTTTTCCTATACGATCCATCCACCCCAGCTCTATATAAAATCGTACATTTGCGCTGCCCCCTAAATATTCTGAAAAAGTACTATCCTCGTGCATTTTTGTGTCATTCTCTATTCCAACTTATAAGTCATCTCTTTCACTCCTGCCTATGAAAAACATGTCTATCCTTCAAGGTCTGACTCCAATTTTACCTTTTTCACAAACTCTTCCTTAGTTATTTTTTTCTCTCCCAAGAACCCATATTTTACTGTTTTCACCACATAGTAGGCATTGTAGCATGTAGTAGATGTACACAGATACATTACATCTCTGTAGTTAAAACTAAAAATTGCTTAGGGTAGGGCCAGGGACATGGTCAGGGTGTGTGCACATAACTTTGTACAAAGAAAATGCCCAATACATATTTATTTCATAAAATTAGTGAGGAAAACCTCCTGGGAAACAATCACAACATGAAGCCATCCTTGAATCTGCAGTCAGTAAAAGCAAGGGTTTTGTCATTATCCAATGAAGAACAGATGGGGAAATGCGAGAGGTTGGGAAATTGGTGGTGGTTTTCAAAGTTGAGCATGAATCAGGGCTTGTTAAAATACAGACTACTGAGTCCCACACCAGAGTCTCTGAGCATCTGGGGTAGCATCCGAGAATCTATGTTTCTAACAAGTTCTCAGGTGATAGATGCTGCTGGTCAGGGGATCATGGGGAGAGGTGGCCTTGAGCAGCTAATACATACACAGATAATAAGTGTTTATCTTAAAATTAATCAAAGTAGACATTACAAAAGCAATTCCATTATCATTTTCTATTAAGTTAATGAAGATGTTTCAAAATCTAGGGAAATACAACCTCTCTTACGTTACTGATAAAAATCTGAATCAATGTTAGCATTTCTGGGGATGAGGCAATCCAACAATTGGTTTCAAGGGCTTTATAAATATATGGCTTTTGATCCCATAATGCACCTCCCAAAAATTTAACCTAAGGAAATAGTCAAAGATGCATAAAATCATTGATTTTAAATGATGTTGGCAAAAGCATGGTATATGAGAAAGAGAACAAGAAACCTTATATATCCAACAACAAGGAAATGTTAAATCACTGGACTATTATGCTGCTATAAAAATCATGTATCTAAAGTAGATGGAAATGGAAAAATGAGCAAAATAAAATGACAAGTAGGAAAAATGTAAAACTGAACAGCATACCAATATTTTTTTAAAGTATATGTATTTTGAATTTACAAATTATATTATGCAGGGTATCTTCAAAGTTGGAAACAGGATATTGCTAAATAGTATGTTAGTTATACTTTCAAAAAATATGCTTAATATATATTTTTCAATCTCCAGGCATTTTTTAAAGAAGGAATATCCCTAATCAAAGCAATGGATCTAATATTATGCCAAAAACCGCAATTACTTTTGCACCAACCTAACAGTTAATCTGGAAAAACAAGCATCATAGTTATCCTGGGGAGTATTTAAATAAAGTCTGGAAAAATAACATGTTTAGAGTACTTCATCTAAAAACATTGACATATTAGCTGAAAATGGAACTAACAAACTCTTTTAAGAATAAATTTATCTGATGTTTCCTGACTTTGAGAACATTGTAAATATGCTTTTGTTTTACATATCAGTTTGTTACATAAATATGTAAGACACATCTCAAATGTAGTAACAGACATGCTATTATGACATCCGTACTGAGTTGTTTTCTATATAGGAAACACTGTATGTATATTCATAATGGTTTTATGAATTTTTCAATTCATATTTGGAAGATACTTTTCTTTAAGCAATTCTGTCAATCATCAGAATCACTTTCCCCAATCAATGCTACAAACTGCAACTGCCTCTCAGAATCACGGTCTGTAGCCTGACCGTAGGTGATCTGCAGTCACTCGAGCATGATTAAGAGGGTGCTCTCTTCTCATCAGTTAGAGAAGACACCCGCTGAGATCTAGCTACTTTCCTATCACAGGTTATTAGCACTAATCACTGACTCTACAAGAAGGGGTATAGGAAGCTGTACCTCCCTCTCTTCTTTCCAGTCTACCACTTTTCTAGAGCTGCACTGTCCAATGTCGTAGCCATTAGTCACATGTGCCTACTTAAATTTAAGTTAATAAAATGTAAATATAGTTCCTCAGTCGCACGAACCACATTTAAAAGCTTAATAGGCAAACGTGGCTAATGGCTAATATATCAGACAGCAAAGATATGGAACATTTCCATCAATGCAGAAAATTCTATTAAGCGAAGTTGTTCTAGATGTTAAGGAAGCTGAAACGGTCCTCAAATCTGGTTTATTATTGAGGGTTGGAGGCATGGCAATAGGGTTTCCCCAATATAGTCATCACCAGAATTGAACTTATCCCTGACCAGATAACTAACCATACCCACTTTTGTTTAAAAAAAAAAAAAATTAAGTACAAGGGGTTTGGTCTTCAGCATCTGTCTTCTTTCCCCCCATCCTCTTCAACCTCATTTTTCTCCAACATTAGCATATGGGTAATAAAACATTATCCTTGTTAGTCACTCAGCATACAGAATGTAATTTTGAACATGATCATCACTATTTCTATGGCTGAACAGAAATTAAACCATGCTGCCAAACTTAAGACTAACAAACAGATACATATACAAATATTTACCTCCTTTAAGCTTTCTTTGCAAAGAGGACAATATGGTGCATGATCTAAACAACGCTCAAGACAATTTTTACAGAATGAGTGTCCGCAAGGGGTTGTTACTGGCTCAAAAAACAACCTGAAATCAACCAAAATACATGTTAGTTTTCACATTAAACTATCCACTGGAAAAGCTTGTACTACTATAGAACCATAACACTAATCTCTATTTAAAGGAGGAAGAAGGAGGGCCCGGCAGGCAGGAGAGGAGGGAAGGGGCAATGATAAGTGTAACCATACCCTCCAGAATGTTGTAAAAGTTCTCCATCAACAGAGGCTCCTGCCAAGGGCCTAGAGCTGTCCTGACTAACGCAACAGCCCCTGGACACTATGGCTACTAAGCACTTGAAATGTGGCTAGTACAAGCTGATATGTGCAGTGAATGTAAAATACATACCAGATTTCAAAGACTCTCTGCAAAATAAATAATGTAAAATACATCATTAAAAATTATGTTAGCTTTTGTATAGCCTTTAGATTCCCATTTTAATATCAACTTAAAAATGATTCCTTAATAGGTTTATAAGAGCCTTATGATTTAAAACTCATAAAAAGATGATATAATAAATAATGCAGGTGAATCCTAAAGAAATGTTAGGCTTAATACTAAATGTATTATTCAAACATTGCAGAAAAACTAGTTTTACTTATTTTTTGAAACACGATAGTTTTGAATTTGCTAGAAATAGATTTAGAGGTACTTTAGGAACTATTTAGTATAATCCCCTCACTTCACAAATGAAGAAACCAAGGCTCAGAATTAAGACTTGCTCAGGAATATAACTGCTACCAGTCTAATGTGACCAGCACTAGGCCTCCTGACCCCGTATGAATCTTTTGATCCTACACAATTCATGTAAATGAGAAATGTTATTTCAAAACATTTAGTCTTCTAGAATTATAGCATTCTGAATAATGGAAATCCTTATCCTTATGTTACTTTAAAAAGATTTTATGGTTAATATACATTAATAAGATAGGATCATATAGATAAAATACATAATTAGAATTCATACCCAAATTTAAAACCATGGAGAGAGGTAAGTTTCGATAATAATATCTATAACTTTCTTAGTACTTTACAATTTCCCAGATTCCTTTTATACTGAAGCCATGTGATTCTCACAACAATGAGATGTAGGCTATGCAAAGCTTGACCCCACTTTCTAAATTAGGAAACCTGAGGTTCAGAGATTCAGTTATTTGCCCAAGGCATGAAAGGTAAACCCAGGACTAAAATTCATGTCTTTTGATTTTTATTCCAGCATTCTGTTACTTTACATTGTCTATTATTACCTTTATCTACACTGTATTTTATTTATACTAACATGAAATAGTCATCTTCTATAAAGTTTTATATGCTTACCTCATGCAGAGAGAACACTCGAAATCTGAGACATCGATTAATTCCTCTGGAATATCACCATAAGCTAAGGAAAACATACAGACTTCATTGGGAGTTTCTATTAAAACAAAGACATGGGGTTTTCTTCTTTAGGAAAAACTTTAAAGACTATTCTGACTAAATAAATTTATTTTATATAAGTGTAGAGCAAAATGTTTACCTCCTTGTTTTTTAAGCTTATTTCTTCCATCTTCATTTACAATCACATCCTGTTCTAAAAGAGACAACTTTCTTTTCAGCAGAACACCTTTTTCTTGAACAGACAGAACAGGTTCTGAGGACACTCTTTTTAAACAGTCCTCTCTGGCAGGCGTTTCTGTTGAATTTATAGACTGTGCTGACTGAGCACGGTTTAAGCTTCCTTTGACGGGCTCTGAAGTGACCTCTGGTATTTCTTCACTCTACAAAAATACAATAAACAAAGGTAACCGTATTTCTTTACTATCCTTTATTCCTCTCACCAAGAATCAAACTGAAATGAAATTTCAATGCCTTATAATGCTCATTTTAATGTTCATTTAATAGCACTAACTTGATTCCAACACTGTGACAAGTAAATGATTTTTGCCAGCACAGTTGGCCCTCCGTATCCATAGGCTCTGCATCCGTGGGTTCATCCAACTGGGGATAGAAAATATTCTAAAAAAAAGCCTGAACATATATAGACTTTTTTCTTGTCATTATTCCCTAGACAATACAGTATAATAACTATTTACATAGCATTTACATTGTATTAGGTATCATAAGTAACCTAGAGATGATTTAAATATACAGGAGGATGTGCATAAGTTATATGCAAATACTGTGCCATTTTATTAATATATCAGGGACTTCAGCATCCTTGGATTTTCATATCTGTGAGAGGTCCTGGAACCAATGTCCCACAGATACAGGGTATGACTGTACTTACACAGCCCTAGAAATCAAGCTGACTTACATTATAATGAGGTTTAAAAGTAGTTATGCTATAACACAGCTGTTCCTACCCTGAGGAAACATAAAGGCAATGTTCTATACATATTTTTAAATACCTAAAAGTTTCCTGACATTCACGTGACCTAAAATTGTGATTCATTAGCAAATATTTTACATAAAAGATTTTAGTGTAAAATAAAGGCTATAGAAAAAATTCTACTAAGATAACTAATCAGGTTAAAAGTACTTAAGTAGGTGCTAGTACTTGAAACTAGGAAAGTGAAGATCGTAGCTTGTAAAGAAATAGATACGCTGAATTCATGATAACCTCGTCTCACCCCATACCTGCTTTGGGCTAGGTTCACTGGGGGACTGAGACTCTTCCATCACTGAAGGAAAATCAAAAGGTCTGTTTTTAGTACATGGTAATGAACTCCAGGAAGATCCCTTCAGGCCTTCTTTTAAGTTTTCAGGTAATAATAAATCACATAAAATCTGTAAGAGAAATATTAAAGGTAAATATAAAATATTTGGTTAAGGATAATTTCATATAAATTTACCTAATTAAGAATATTTAGAAAGTTTATAGCAGACATTATGTTTAATGAGCAGGAGAGGAACAAGGTAAGCAACACTGTAAGTTCAAAAGTCTTGCAAAACTAGGTGTGCCTCATGGGGTCAAATCACCCACAAAGAAACTATTCAAAACTTTGAAAGGAAGGCATGGGAGTAGTTAAGACTCAGGATAAAGGCTGATCTTTTAACACAAGGAATATAAAAAGATTTTAAAAGAAATATTAAATATTTATCTCTGAATCTTAGTGAGCCCTATCCTATCAAAATAGTTCATGGTTTACCTCAATGTATATTTATGAGGTTGGTCTTGGGGCACTTATGTAAACTAAACTTGGACTTCTAACTATAAAACTACAAAATTCCTTGTATATACTCAATTTAATCTCTCACTGAACAACTAACCTGTGTGGGCAGTTACTGCTGCCCAATACTTGGTTAGGAGCACCCCATGGCAGCTTCCCTATAATAGCTAGGAAATAAACTGGGAGACAGCTGGAGAATCAGATTTCTGGGTGCTTATCTCAGGAATACGCCTAAAACTCCAACAGAAACAGGCTAAGATAGGGGAATAACGTGGCTAGAATAAAATGAAAGGGATTGTGATATTTTTGGTTGTCAAACAATCTGTATTTATAAATACAGCACATATTAAAGTCTAAAGTGGAGGTTCGGTTTTTCAGCTGTTATCTTTCAAATATACAAAAATCAGAATAAATCACAAATCATTCATGGAAATATAAACAATGTAGATAAAAGCATGTATCTTTGGTAGGTGCTCAAATACTCCATTTAATAAGCAAACATTTAAAAATCTGTATATACACATTTATATTTCCTCTGTTTTAAAAAATGTATTAAACACACATCCACCCTAGAACCCAGCAATTCCACTCCTAAGTTTTTGCCAAAGAGATGTAAAAACATATGTCCACAAAATGACTTGTACAAGAATACTCATAGCAGCTTAATTTATATCAGGAAAAAATACTGGAAACAATCCAAATGAAAATCACTACTAACTGAAAACCACAAATTCCATTATGTTCATATAATGGAATACTTAGACAACAACAAAAAAATGACTTGATGTATCTAAAAAATATTATGTTCAGCAAAAAAAAAAAAAAACAAAACTCAGACACAAAAGAGTAAATATTGTATGATTCTTCATTCCAATGAAGTTCTAGAATAAGCAACACTACTCTACAGTGACAAATCTGAACAGTAGTTGCCTCTAGGAGCAGGGGATGGAGGATTTACTGGAAAGGAGATGAAGATACTTTCTAGGGTGATGGAAATATTCTCTGTTTTGACTGGGATGCTGTTACACAGATATATACATTTTTCAAAATTCACTGAAGTGTAAAATCCACGCATTTTATTATATGTAAATTATACCACAACTTAGAAAAAGTACATTGGAGAAAAACAAAATATTCTAAAGCATTATTTGTTTTGCATCCACCTGATCCTATTAACCAGCAAACAAATAGTTACAGAAATAGAAGGATGTTTGGCAGCATGCAAAATACAGAAACATATGCTCTTAAAATTAAACTTTGCAATCTTACCAAGAAGATAACACTAATGAACATGGAACAGTCAGAAAACAGACAACAGTAAACATTTTCTTCTTAAATCAGTGGGCTAGAATGTATAAGCAAACAAACCTCATAGAGGCTATACCAGTGCCAGCTGGATTCTTAAGGGGGTTGAGATCTGAGAATAATCTCAAAGTTCTCATGCTTCAGGGTACATAAACATCTCTTGGGCTGCTTCTTAAATAGCTGCTCCGATTTCAGAGATTCTTAATCAAAGACTTGTAGTTGGGCCCAGGGCTCTTCAGGTTTAACATGATCCCCACATGATTCCGACAAAAAGCCCCACTCTAAGAAACACTGCAACTGTGATAAATAATGTGGCATGTTTTGAGTATATGGAGGAGAGCATCATGACTGGGACCCTGAATTTGTATTAGCATAGATTTTCTCAAAGAATTTTTTGAAGACCCTACTCTTTCCAGATATTCTGTGAATAAGTCTTGCAAGAGCTGAGTGCTATTTTATTTCATGCTGGCATATCAAAAGCTATGAGATGTTCTGGAGAAACCTAATTAACATGGCTTAACCCAATGCTTCCCAAAGTCACTTCATCAGACAGCTCCCTTCCTTCCCCCATCCCCTATTTTAAAAAATTAATAACTACTAACACACCACAAATAGAACAAAGTATGGAAAGTGACATATGGAGTATTGAAAAATATAAGGCAAAACAAGTGGACTGGGCAATACTATTGGCAATCCTGGGGAGTAAGCAAGGACAGACTTGAAGTAAAAGGCAAAAGGCAGGTCGATAAGGCTTCTGAGCAGGAACATCGTGATAGCAATGCTTAATTAAGGACCATCGATCTGGCTCAGATTGAACAAACTATTAGAAAACTGACCAAAAAAATGCATTGAAATATCTGTGAATAAAATGTTTCGATTTCACTACGAACTCAATATAGTAAGTATACGAACCTGAAAACCACTCAAATTGTCACATTTCTTCCTATTTTAGATTTATTTACTACTTATGTTCTTATTCCAACTTTTATTAGCATTTTTTTTAAAAACCCTGCCTGTCTCTTAGCCCTACCTCGAACTGTAACTGTTGGTAAAGTGATTACCTTTTGTACTTGCAGCTTTGCAGGTGCAAAATCTTCATCAAGGGCTAAGCACTGAAGAAAGAGTTGTAAGGCATCACCTAAAAAACCAGCATCGTAGAGCACTTTTCCTTTCCTGAAGTAGACCTTCAATAAAAGCACATATATAAAACCTTTGTGGTAAGAATTGCTTTTTAAAAAGTCATTATCAAGTAAAGAAAAACAACAGTTTGCTCAGCAATGCTGATTTTGGGCCAAGCAATGCTGATTTTAGCTCACACCTGTAATCCCAGCACTTTGGGAGGCTGACAAAGGTGGATCACTTGAGTTCAGGAGTTTGAGACCAGCCTGGTCAACCTGGTGAAACCCCGCCTCTACTGAAAATACAAACACTAGCCAGGCGTGGTGGCATGCACCTGTAATCCCAGCTACTCGGGAGGCTAAGGCACGAAAATCACGTGAACATGGGAGGCGGAGGTTGCAGTGAGCTGAGATCACACCAGTGCACTCCAGCCTGGGTGACGGAGTAAGACTGTCTCAAACAAACAAAAAATGGAAATGCAGATTTTAAAATTCTGAATAATTGAGGCCAAAGCATTTTAAAGGCATACCTACACACCATCCTGGAGAAACACTAATAGGGGAACTGAGGCCCAGACAATGACTTTTTGACCAAAGTTCCACACCAAGTCACAGCTTGGCAGGATCAGAAATACCATGTCCCCACACTTTAAGGAAATTACTGATTTAAATATTATTGATTTAATAAGAACTGTTTGAGGGAAAAGGAAATTACATGTAAAATTATACTGACTTTAAGAATGCATCAAAATTAAAGAAATATTAAATGTGAAAAAAACTTTGTCCTAGATTTAGGGCAATATGGTAAATTTCTTCCAAGTTATTAGGAATCTATAATTGCCCATGCTATTTTTTAAGAAAGTACTTATAGACATAACACTTTTCATAAATCCCTTATTTTGTCTTTCACTTTTCTCCTTTGTGAGTTCAGCAAACTCTATGACAAAAATTAGAATCCCACTAATTATCACTGATAAACCCAAAGTTCAGTTTGTGGGTTGGTCCACCAACAAAGTATCAACTGGTAAGCTTTAAAATTCCTTGCTTATGTGATTAGAATGAAAGAGATTCTTAGTATTAATATCAGAGGAGCCTAAAGAACGTTCTAGTCAAACAGTTTTTTAGCTACCACTTTAATGGCTGAAGAAAACCTTTCTGATTACATCACTTCTGTGGTAAGTCCAGAAGATTCCTTTTCAATAGTTTTAAAGCCATGCACACCAACCACTGCCCTCTTATTCTGAATATATTTGCCTTGTACTAACCAGTCATGCCATCGTGAAACTTCGTATCATTTCTCTAATTAATTTATAATTTTTAGAGCAGCCTTACTACACTGTCCTCAAAGGCACAGTTTGAATAGAGGGGAAAAGTCACATAAAAGAGTAACTTGTATCTTAAAGAACACATTTGGACTAATTTGCCTTGACAATTTGATAAAAAGGAGAATCTGTAAACTGATTGTATGTCATACACATTCCTAAGTCTTTTTAAAAGCCACATGAGCAAGGCAACTGCCTTTGTCCCTATCTTCTGAATTAAATCACTGCCTAATCACCTAGTTACCATATAATACCTCCCAAAGTTTCCAACTTTAAGAACCTATTCTCTTTCCATTAATAAATCTCATTCAATGAAGTCCAGTTTGCATCCATCTTCACAATATGGCAAGTTGTATTTCTTTGCAGATATTTTGTATAATAAAGTCTTTTTTTTCCTGTACCATGAATTGTTTGTTCCTAATTTATGAAAGAAAAGTCTCTTATTATTAAAAAAAATTGTGAGATGATACTCATCCTCTCAAAATACTGAACCCAGATTGGTTTTTGAGATGGGGTCTGTCACCAAGGCTGGAATGCAGTGGTAATTCAGGGGCACAACCTCAATCTCCAGGGCTCCAGTGACCTTCCCACTTCAGCCTCTCGAGTAGTTGGGACTACAGGCACAAACAACCATGCCAGGCTCATTTTTGTATTTTTTGTAGAGACAGAGTTTCACCATGTTGCCCAGGCTGGTCTCAAACTCTTAGGCTCAAGCAATCCGTCCAACTCAGCCTCCCAAAGTGCTGGGATTACAGGAATGAGCCATTGCACCTAGCTGAACCTACATTTCTGGAGCACTAGGTATTTTATTTGGAGTCAACCATCTACTTTGTTAAAATTTGTAACTGTGAATGAATGCATGTCCCCTATAGTTGAAATTTTACAATTTATGCAAACATAAAACAGTAATTTTACCTCAGGCCAATCTGGAAGTTGAAAAAGAACTGCATTTAAATCTTCAATGGCTGCTTTAAACTCTTGGAGACCAGCATATGATTCCGCTCTGTAAATTTTTACAATCAAGTCACTGGGCTCTGAAATAAATATTTTATAAGGATATGATTATTTTTAAAAGATTATTACATAATCCACAAAATATGATCATACCAGATTAAGAAATGACTTAGTGATTCCAGGGTTAATAATCACCAAACTAAAGTCTATAAGCCAAGGGCAGTACAGGCACAACCCATTTTACATGTTGAATCTTATCTAGAAGTTGTATCAAATCATTGTAAGTAGATCATTTTAGTGGAGGAAACTGTTTTCCAGAATATTGTAAATACTTTTATAATATGAATAATCACTCTTAAGAAAACTTTTTTTTTAACAAAGGGTAGTCTATAAAGATTTTGAAGACATCTTTCTTAGATGTTTAGATTTGCCTTTTTATAGTAAATCTTATATTTTTACCCTACTTTCTAAGTCCTCATTGATAAAAATAGCCATATGTGTAACTATTGCATGTGGAATTCCCACAGTGACAAGGGACTGACAAAGGCTCAATCTTATGAGGGTATACAGTAGTCTTGATTCTGGAGGAAATGAGTTAATAAGAGTCAGCTTTTAAGAGAGCGAATTTTAATTCCTGCCACTAGCAAAAACGGTATTGGCCCACTTCAAAATATATTTAATTTAAAATACTCCTGAGAAAAAAGGCTTTGTTATTCGTTTCACTATCATCTACATCTGTACTTAAGAAGCCAAATTATTATCTTATGGCATTCAGAATTTCAGACACTTAGCTGGTTCACTGATATTACTGCAATCAATTACTACAGGTACGCAGATTCCAAAACTGATGTCCAAGCAAGAAATTAATTTTTAATATAGCAACAAATGACATCAACTTGACTCTTATTTTAAAGCTATCTTTGAGATCTTTAAAAGCATAAGGTACTCATTGTAAGATGGGCATAAAGACCTTAATGCCTCTAAATAAAATTTAATAAAATTCATCAATAGCTGCCGGGTTTACTCTAGTTTTTAGATGACTGCTTTTCTATTGATAACTCTCACTTCAGCAATTAATTTAGGAAGGCCTCTTTCAGTTGCTGGTGCCTGAGAACTGGAATTACAATGTTCCCACAATTTTATATCAATGAAAACATTTAAAGAGTAAAATTAATATTTTATAAAACTTTTTACTTCTTAAAAAAGACATGTCTAGAGTATTTTGTCTGGTGCTTCTTAAAGCAATGAAAAATTATCTCCGAACAAAATGCATATGAATTAAAAGTTCAATATGATTAATCAATCAAGAATTAAGAGTTCCTAGCACAAACTTAGACCCTGTAGGTATTCAAAAATGTTTTACATTATTCCTGTCTTTGAGGAGCTTATAATCTAGCTAGAAAATTTTACTGTGAAATAGCATCATGCAATACTGACTTGTCAAGTACAACTGGAGTTGAAAAAACAGAGCGATGTATGGCAAAATAGTCTTAACAACGAGTAGTAAAAGCATCAGCATCAAAAACTCCAGGCTATAAAGGACTGGGCTCAGAAAGTGCAGTTTTCCACCCACAGCTGGGGTGCTTCCAAAAGCATCCTTGAGACAGACTCCGCTCTAGTACCTCCAGCGAGAAGGAGTTCACTATCGCAACAAGCAGCCCATTCTTGGATTTTAATTTTTTTTAATTTCAATTTTTTTCTTATATATCAAGTTCTCACTCCTTTATATTTGATGCCATGCACATTCAGAACTGTTGAATATTTCCCCTTTTATCCATGCCTTCACTGCTCAATCACCTTTATAGTTTCTTTATGGCAGCAGTGAGTGACTCAGAAGACCTGTCTTTGAAAAAACAGTCAAACTATAAAATGTATCCACTCTGACCAAAGCAAAAAAAGACATATTCCTTCCCCTCTCCACACAGAAAACTTCAGGATATTGAGATCTCCCTAAAGGAGGTCCTAAACAGTATATGTTGGGGTAAGAAGAGAAGATGCACACCCTAGAGATAAAAAGAGCCAGATTTTAAAACACTTGCTCCCTAACTCCTTGTATGTAATGTTCTTATTGAGAATTTCCAGTGTTAATGGATTATTTTGAATGATTTAAAAAAAAAGAAGAAAAAAGACAACAAAACCCTCATCAGGTGAGTTCAAACTTCCAATACTTTTTTAAAAAGATTAGGACCATCACACTTACTGATCTCAAATTCTTTTTAATTCTAAAAAAGAGCCAAGTGCACTAAAAGAGCCCCTTTGAAAAGCATACACAAGGTCTGCCTTCCATGTAAACTTTCAAGAAAGGCAACAAAATGGCAATCAGTCCTGACTGTATCATTAACTTAAGTTTGAAAGAGTCAATAAGTATTTACTGTATGCTATGTGACCTTGAGGACACTAGAGAGAACTAGTCACCTCGCTGCACACGCCATCAGGGAAGATCCTGGTGCTCACTCCCATTACTGCAGGTATCTGTAGTGCCCAGCAAGTGCCTGGCATATTATATATACTTTCCATTTTTGAAATTGACAAAATTTCATATTTTCAAAATTTTCAAAAAAAGTTGTTAAAATTTGATAAAGTTGTCAAAATTGACAACTTTGACAAAAATCCAGAGACAACATGGTTTGGGCTAATTGTATTGAATATGACTGTGGTACTTAACTCTGTGATCTTATTCTAAATCACTTGGTGTCTCTGGTCTTGTTTCCATATCTACCAGAAGCAGGGACAGATGTACTAGTGGTCATTATTTAATTAACTGCCTGATCTTTATCTTTAGTCCTGATTTTTCACACTAACTTCAGATTCATCAAATTTCCAACTGCCTGCCATACTTTTTCTCAAACTCAGCATGTTCTTCACCAAAAAAGCATTTTTCACTGTATTCTCTATCACTGACACCACTAACTTCCCAAATCAGAATCAACTTTGTAAATGTCACCTCCTATGATATGCCTCAAATCTGCCCTTTTCCAATCCTATTGCTAGTAACCCTGGGTTAGGCTCCCCAAATCTCTCTCTAGTACTATTGCAATAGCTTGCTAACTGGTCTCCCAGCCTTCAGTTCTACTCTACCTACATCCTTACCATCCACAAGACAAAACAGGTATTATTTAGTACAAGTTCCTCCACGCCTGGCTCCTGCCCATCTCTCCAGCCTTAATTATCATTATGAACCTCCCACTCACTCAAAGTCCCAACTATACCTCACTACCCACACTGCCCCATGCATACCATTCTATTTCATGCCTCCTTCCTGTGCTGAGCTCCTCCCTTATCATACCATTCTTTATCTTGATAACTTTTTATCATCCAGCAAGACTCAGCTCACCAATCTCCTCCCAAGATGCTTTGCTTTGGGTCTTCCTCCACAATTTATGATAACCACCAAGAGCATGATCTGGCTCCTCCACCTACTCACTGTGACTTGGGGCAAATTTCAAGTAGTATCTGTACTTTAATTTCCTTAGCTTTAAAATTCAGGGGCTTTTAAAACATTAACACCACTATGTGCTGTTCTAAATGATTTACAATCTTCAGCACAATTCTACACGGATCTAGCATTGTCCACATTTTTATAGAAAACAGCGGAGAGCTTGCCCATGATCATACAGCTAGTAATTGGTGGATTCGAGATTCTAACTCAGGAAGCCAGCTCCAGAGTTCTAGCTGTTTACCTCCACACTATTAATATGTTGGTAACAGTCTCTACCTCAAGGGTTACTCATGAGAGTAAGTTAATGGGTGCAAAGTACTTAGAACAGGGCTTGGCACACTGAAAGCATGGCGTGTTTGCTATTACGATTCTGTACCTTCATTGTATATATATGGCAATTATTAAAGTAATTTAAAGATTTGTAAACTCCATTATTTACTGCCTTTTATCCTCAGATCCTGGCTTTGATAAATGTTTCCTGAACTACGGAAAATTCATTAAAATTCAATTCCTTAAGCTCAATTCATGTTGCCATTTTCTCTTCTTTTACATCCACCAGTATTATCTGTAAGTCATTCGGCAAGTAAAAAGATTTAAGTAAGACTCTGCTCCCAGAGGAATCTAATCTTCAGCTGTCCAAAGCATTTATTTCACGGGATGAAGAGAGAGTTGGTCATGGTTTCCTATCTTTGTTCCAATCCTTAGGGATCTGTGATTAGTAACAGGAGTCTTAAAGTTGTTTCTTTAGTTCACCTTCAAGAAAGTTTTTTTTCAAATCACAAAAGCTTAAAAAATGTTTAGTCATAAAATTTGAAAAATATAGAAATAAGAGTTAAAAACTATCTTTTTCCCATCACAAAGAAACAGCCAGTGTTGGTATTAACAAAAGAAAAAAATTACCACAAATTTAAAGTTCGGATTGGCTTTTATTTGTGATTCTAGAAATGGGCAACACCTCATTCTACAAAATGAGTGTTCTGATGAGCTAAGCAGAGGAGGTTAGCCTTCTAGGCGGAAGAGGGCTGAAGAAAGCAGAAATAAGGGACAAAAAGTAGATTGGTTGTTTCAAAGTTGAAAACTTTCTTTACAGGGTTAAAACACAGAGGACTTTCTTATTTCACTAACTCACGTTGACTGAAATCTCGTTTTTTTTTTTTTTTTAAGAAAACTGGCTCATTTCAATTCAAATTCAAAGTTCAGTTTGATTATGTGGCACTTAGCACAAGGGCCTCCATTCTAATTCTGTCTGGTCTGCTGGTGCCTAATGCAGGAGGTCAGTCTCAAACAACGGCCTCCCATATATTTTTGTTCTTCATGTGTGAAGTACATTTTTAACATGTAGTTTTATAAAATATGTCACATATGCTGTTTATAATCTGCTTTTTTCTTCCATGTAATACTAGTCCACATGATTTTTAATAGTTGCAAAATATCCTACTATATACACAACCTATTTAAAAATTTCCTACTCTGCAATTAAGTTACTTCTAACTTTTGGCAGTATAAAAAGTATAACAAATGTCTATTTATCTATCTTTATGTATCTGCTTACCTTTTTAGTTATTTGCTATACAGTATGTAGAAAGTTATTTATTTACTGTACTTTTTTTTTATTTATTTGAGAAAAGATCTCACTCTGTAGCCCAGGC